ATGTCGCACGATCACGATTGTCTGGTAGTATTTTATTTTTTATTTATTTTTATAAATCGAAATCATCTAAAATTTGATGTGTATGTGTACATCTTAGTGAGGCGCACCTAATAAACATATAAAAAAAATAATTTATGAAAAAATTGACCAAAATACCCCTTAAAAGTTTTGGAGGTGTTTTGATCAATTTTTTTCATGTAAAATAGGTTTTTGATATTTTCATATATTCGTCTATTTTTATGAACACACGCTCTAAATTTCATATCATTCCGATTTGTAGAAAAAAAAATGAAAAATAAAACACTACTGGACAATCGTGACCGTGTACTGAACTTTGGACGGTGATGCGGGTAAGCTAAATCACTATTCATTTTCGCCTATAGGCATTTGGTAGTATCTTATATATATATATATATATATTTCTTTGCTTTGGCTGAAGAGGCGGAAGCTTCGGCTTGAAGCAAACCCGAATTTGCCCGAAGCAGCGCCAACAAGCTTTGTTTCGCTTCGGTCTAGGCCTAAAATCCAAAGGCCCCAGCCTCTTTGGCCAAAGTGAAGCAAATTTGACAATATTTTCAACAATATTAAAAAGCAATGTATCAGCCCCTACAATATCTCTCTGATACAAATGCGCACTTGAAATAGAATTAAGAGAGAGAAACACAAGTAAGAAAAAAATGAACAAAATGGAAGAGAGAGAGTGGACAATAAACCTACTAAAAATAATAACATAATTGTTGTTGAGTACATCCCCACACCAACCACCACCCACTGGACAGAAAGTATCTCCATTGAAAAGCTTCACATAGGTCAAGTGCCCAGTCTTCAGAAATCCTAGAACACTAAGCCTAGTGCTCCATTGGTAGGTAGAGAGAGTGAGCGAAGAAGTTTTTCTTTCTAGTTCAGGCTCTGGAGATGGAAGTGAAGAGCAGTTAACAGAAGCCACCACCCTCTATAAAAATAAGGTTTTTGGAAATCTAGAACTTGCAGAGAAAGAAAAGATATGAAGAGGGAGAAAGGTCATACCTTAAATTTCACATGAAATTGATTCATGCAGGGGCGAGCAAGCTAGGATTTCATGTGGGGGCGAGCAAGAGGGTTTCACGCAGGGGCAATCGGCAAAGGTGGGTCATTTCGTTTCCCGTGTAGGAGGACCCCAAAGCAAGTTGTTCATTACAACTTACTACAAAAATTTAAAGTCATCATTTTAAGAGAATATAAATTTTACTTATTTCGGTAGGCTTAAAAGGTGAAAAAGTGAATTCTCGTGGAAATCTGAATCCTTTCGTCAAAGTGCATCCAAAAATGATTTTTTGACAGCTTTCTTGAAATGTAACACCCAAAAATCTGAATCCAGAAAATGAAACAGGCCCTTAAGCACCGTAGGGTATCTACAATAAAGGGATTTTTTTCAATAAAAATATAAGAGACTTTATTTAAATAGTAAAATTATTATGGGACCATAAATCTTCTTAAAAAACAAATCTACCAATCTTTGAATAAGAGAGTCGAGCAAACTATTCCTTTTGTACATCTAAATAAGAGGGGAAGTAAATTGATTTATTCGTGGATGAGGTTTCTATAAGACTGAGGCTTTATAAAAACAAAAGGCCTCACTTCATATCGTCCGTTAGAAAGCACTGTTGGCAAAAGCAATTTCTATGATGGCTCTAAAATCAATTTTCAACACTAATAAAATTTGAAACTAAAAAAAGGTACAAATCTTGTAGATTTGTGAACACTTATTTTTAGGGAGAAATAGTCAGGGTAGATAATTTGTTAATGATATACCCTATTTTTAGATCTTGAAATCTTTTTTTCTTTTGTTTTGACAACTATAATTTTCAAGTCAAGATGCTCGATGTAAAGGTTTTTCAATGCTCGAATTGTAATTTTAGATGAGTTATGAGGTGAGGCTTTACTTACTTTGATAAGGATGCAGCCCTATCAAACCATTTTTTTTATTTGTTAACAAATGTTTAGTACAAGTAATGCTAAATGTTATATTGTCATCTTAACACCATAGGGCGAAGGAAAGCATTTTGGTATCATATGGGGCGCTCTATATTTTCAACCCCAAAAAAACACAAATACAATAAATGGTGACGTGCGAGCTCAGTAAGTGTATGGCTATATGCAGCACCACGAGTGAAGTCCTACACGCTTCCAAAAACAAATACAATAAATGGTGACGTGCGAGCTCAGCGAGTGTATGGCTATATGCAGCACCACGAGTGGAATCCCACACGCTTCTAAACACAAGGTTGTTCGAAAGAAATATATTTTGATGTAATGCCACTGCAGATAATGAACAGAAATGAGACCCCCAAGAATTCTTCTTATTGAAATATAAGAAAAATTTAGGTATAGAGCGGAAAATATTTTGGTTATTTCATAAAGATCCAATTTTTGGGGTAATCCCAGCTTCAATTTTTTTGTTTTCTTTTTTCAACTTTGCATTTGGTCCGATGTTTCTAACATTGCATTGATTTAATTTTTATTTTTTAATATTTATTTTCATCAAATATAGGGCGATAGCGTTGTTTAAAGGTATCTTAAGCGCTGGTCTGATATTACAAATATCATACAGTCAACATGTGGTCTTATGTTTGGGTCATCAGACCGATATTTTCTCAATGTTGTAGTTACATACTAGGGGTCTGATGTTGTAGACATTAGACTGCTCACTAGACTGAGTCCAGTGGCATGTATGATATATACATCATTGTTAGAAATATCGGACGATCTAATTTCTAACCGCCCGGTTAGATCGGAACCGACCGATTCCGGTTTTGGGCGGTTTTGGTGATCGACCTACACTGTTAAAAAAAAATCAAAAAACAAAATAAAAATTTTCAAAAATAATGAATTTGGTTTGTAATGCATTTTTTTAATATTCTTCACATTATGGTAAAGATTAAAAATTGTTTTTGTCATTAATATTCACTTAATTCAAAAATAGATTCGTTAAAATCTATTTTTTTCATTAATTTTCAACTTCATTTGAATGTGTTTTGTTTTAGTCATTATTTATATGCTTTTCATATTTTAATCGATTTTTTTTGTATCTTTTTTATTTTTTAATACTTTTTTGACCACCGAAACTTGCCGGTTAGAACGGTTAAATCTGCCGGTTTACCGGTTAGGTCAGTTAAACCGCTTCCAGGCCCATGTCTAGTTAACCGTTCCGATTCGATTTTGCGAACATTGATATGCATCATCGGACCACTTGACATCCCCCTAAGTGCTTCGGACAAGGTGGACCTGATATTCAGACAAAATTATGATGGTACGATGTTACATACAACAAACCGCATTATGAGGGTAAAGTGTCATACCCGACATTTGAAGAAAATAAAAAAGAAAAAGAAAAATTGATTTGATGTTGGAAACATCGGACCGAGGAAGAAGTTCAAAAAAATCAAAAAAAAATATGCAAAAAAAAGAAAAAGAAAACAAAGAGCTAGTATAAATTATCCAAAAAATATGGATCATTACATAACACCACAAAAGTTTCCTAGTCCATACCTAATTTTCCATTGATTTTATGCTCTAAAGAGAGTATACTACCCATTTATTCCCTACGGTGAAACTCAATATATGATTTTGTGCTCCTAAGAGAGTATACTATCCATTTATTCCCCTGATTTTATGCTGGTGAGAGTCAATATATGATTTTATACTGCGAAGAGAGTATACTATTTATTTATTCCCTAGGGTGAAACTCGATATAGGAATAATTTAAGGATCCCAAATTTTGTAATCTCTTCAACCCATAGACTAACCTTAATAAAAAAAGGGTGTGGTTTGTAAAGAGCCTAGGCTCTAAAGAATCAAATTAGACCCTACATTCAAATAGTGTCGAGAAATATAGTTTCAATACTGGAAATATTTGTGATAGCCTTAAAATATATTTTTATCTTTATTTATAAAATTTAAAGCTTAAAAAATAGTGTAGATCGACATATCTATAAAAACTTGAAAATATTGAAAATTGATGGTCAAATAATTTATCACAAAATACACTATTTTCAAAACTTGAAATCCATTTTTTTGTCATATCCATATATCTGGATGTCGAGATGATCAATTTGAGGATATTTGTGCATCAAACAATCACTTCTAGTGAACTTTTTGATGTAGGCTCCAATTTAATTGTTTAGAGCCTCGGTTCTATATAAACTTTTCCTATAAAAAAATAATAAATCAAAATCGAATTCTCTATATACTAAAACATATTAATATCTCAAGATTGAATATGCCGTCCACATTTTGAAGGGTGAGTGTCAAAAAAACTCAAAGTTCAATTTTTTTTTCTCGTTTAGTAATTCTTAGGTTCCCCAAATTTAAGACTAAAAAAAGCATAGGTCTTTCGATTGAGGGAGTAAACACATAATATATGCTCCCATGGGAGCATAATATGTCCGCTCATGGAAGAATGGACCCATGTTCAACAGACTGCCAAAACTCTTTGGCAGTGAGATCCAGGAACTCAAAATGGAACGACTGCAGAATATTCATCTGGCGAGTAGGTCCATAACCACATAGCGTACACTTGAAATATGATTGATAGAAATAAAAAATAAAAAAAAAAGTTGGGATATGAGGTTATCCAAAAAATAAAAAATAAAAAATAAAAAATAAAACAAAAGCTGGGATAGATTGATAGAAGGGTGAGGTTTGTATAAGGTATCAACCTTGAACAATCATGGTACAACTCAAAATCTCATCAAAAGACGTATTTTTGGTATCGAAACACTTATCATGACCTAAAAGTCTATTTTTCACCTAATATGAAATTAAAAGCTCCGAAAATGGCACAAATCTATCCGATCCATGAGCTCTCAAAAATTTTCAAAAATAAATGGTCTAAATAATGTGTTACAAATTGTAATAATTTTTAGAGTTTGAAATTTACTTTTTCTTTTATATCCATGTATATATGTATATGGAGGTGAAGATGATGAATTGGATAATTATGTGGTAACAAATCTCCATTCGCGAAAACTGCTGCTACACGTTACATATACACCCTAATCTAAAGAAAGCCTGGCTTTTCTGTTTCAGTTTCAAACTCTTCATTCGAAATTCTGTTTTATGGCCCATTCACCTCTTCCCCTCTATTCTCCTTCTGATTCTTATTCTTCCGATGAGGCTTCTGACTATCGTCTTCCTAGCGATGAAGAGGAGGAGGATTTGATTTGCATTCCCTCCAGGTAATCAATCACCTGCACAAACCCTAATTTCTGGATTAATCCCTACTCTTGTAGATAACTTTCTGGGTCTTCGTAGTGTTGTGTTGTGTTTTCAATGTTCTCTTTTTTGTAGCTTTTTTTGTTATTGAGCAATGAGTATGAAAATCATTATACAATAATTTATTTTGAAAAAAGAAAACTTTTTGTTACGTTTGTAGTGACGATGAGTATGAACTGAGCGATGATGCTGAGGCTGATGATGGATCGTTGGACGATGATTTTGAGGCACAATCTGAAGAGGAGGTTCATTACCAGAAAATTATCAAGCTACTTGCAAGTATGATGTTATCTCATTTTCTCTTTCTTTCTCTTGCCTATAATCATTCTCATTGACTACAAGGAAATGTTGTAGTCAATGTTCAACTTTTCTTTGCTTAAAACCCTTTCTACTTCCCCATCTTCTTGCTTCGTATTTTTATCATGTTCTTAATATTGTTTGATTTCTAATCTAGTTATAGTGACCTTTCAATCCACGAATTCTAGCAAAAGGTGATCATTCTATCCTTCGACTATTTTTGTGGTGGGGGATCTTTCTGCTCGAGTTGCCCTTCCAGGGCCAACTGGATTGAGAGCTTAAGCATGGCTAAGAAGTGGAAAGCTTCAGCGGCATAAACGGGTGGCTCTTATAAAGCATTATTGTGGGAATACTTTCTTGTAAGCTGATATTATGTGCATAAAACAATGTCTCACAACATTTTGCATTATCATGTCAAGGGCTTTCTCGTCATCATCAGCATTGTCTTTCCCTGTGGATTCTTCCTAGTTACAGACAGGTTTATGAGAAACTAATCAGTGTTCCTCGAATCTAGGACATGGATACAGACACAAGTATCGTATCTAATGTATTGACTTGTATGTTATATTTCATATGGTACATATAGTATATGTATCTAACACATTGATACATATCCATTCAATATCATAATCAATAATTTCATGTTTTATTCATTGATTTATTTTAAAATCAATTTATATCGACAATTATCCCAAGAGTATCACTTTCAGTATTGTTTCCCGTCATGTTGACCCTAGTAATTTAAGCATATACTACAATCTATATATCTGGAGCCATTTTCTCTAGTTACATTATTTAAAGAAATTTGGCTGAGTTGTAAGGTTTGTAGAGTCGACTCAGAAACTGATGTCAAAGGGATGGAACACATTGTATTTTTATAGCACACACTAAAGGCATGATTGTTATGCGTGAAAATGTTTTCATGAAAGTATTTTCACATGAAAGAACTCCTCCATGTGATTAGGTTTGGGAGTCTTTTCACCCCAATTGGCCATTGATTGGTATGAAAAAATGCGTTGGGACCAATTGGTGTGAATAAACTCCCACACCTAATCACATAGGGGAGTTCTTTTATGAGAAAATCCTTTCACGAAATTATTTTCACGCCTACCAAACGTGCCCTAAGATATGTATCCTAGCTCTATATGGTATGCTACTTATCACTTCTATCATATCCCTTACATTCGAAGGAATTTTTCCTTAAAAAGCACATATTCTCTTGCAACTGTAGCACAACATGAAGCAATCCTTTTGGATATTCAATTGGATGAATCAAGGTTTTAAAAAAGGGTTTGCCTGGCGCATGCCTAGGCGGTCTGGACCAAAAATCCGGACGCCTAGACCCAAGCGGCCCTACACGGGCGGATGTACCTAGGCGGGCGCCCAAGGCAGTAAGGCCTTTTACTTTTTTTAATATTGCCCAAAAGGGCAAAGGGGGTCATTTTGACCCCCAAGGTTGTAAAAAAACATTATGGGGTTTAATTTTAACCCCTACAGTGGAAAAAAAAGAAACCCTCAATATATGAAAACCCCCAAAGTGAAAAAACTACAGGGCGCCCGCCTAGGCGCTAGGCGCTAGGCAGGCCGCCTCGGGGTCGCCTAGCGTTTTTTGAAACCTTGGGAAGAATGAAACCCTAAATATGCTGAATAGCCTTAAATGCCTTTCTTTGAGCGGTGTCTCTACATTGGTATGTATTTTGGGAGGATACCCTCGACGCTATCTTGATAGCATATTAGAAAATTTTGATTATCCAAAATTTGACATTTTCGTGCTTCCATTGGTGTTTATTTTCTAGTTGTACTTGTTATCCATTTGGTTTTTTAGAAATGCGCTTATGATGGTTGTTCGTGTCTGACTAAGTACAATGTTTCTCTTTCTGTGGAGGAAATTGTAGATACAATTGGCGGGGAAAAAAAAATGCCTTGGGTGATATAATTATTTCCCTGATTGATCTTTAGGTGGGCAGGATTTAGATGTATTGAAACTTGAAGAATGCAAAGCTTATCTACGTAAGCATGGGCTGCGTTTGACAGGGACAAAAGCTGTTTGCATGGAGAGAATCTTAGAGCATTGGAGGTTGGTTATTTTACGATACCATTTTTATCTTGATTAGCCAACTAAGTGGATAATGGTATAACTAAATGTATTTTATGATAATTTGTCATCCAATATTGAACTCCACCCCTTCCACATGGATGTGAAAAGATTACTTAAATGCAATCACAATGTTTGCACCATATGATGTTTGCAGTTGCAATATCATCTTCCCAGCACAAATGACTTTTATAATCATACATAATGGAATATTAATTTGTGATATATCGTGTGTATCAAGTGACAAGATTGATTTCAAATGAATTGTTCTATCATATTTTCATGAAAGATACTAAATGCATTATGCCAGCCATTGCAAATTTGGTGAATGTAAAACACACACACACATTTAACTTGTCGTCCTTTGACGATTTAATGTTTTTGCTGCCCTTGTTAAACAATGTAAGTTTGATATCAAACTCTATTTTTTTTTTTGATGGTTTGTATGAAACTGAACTACTGCATAGCCTTTATAGAAAAAGTTATAAAGGCATAGAATGCATTAGTACTCAACATGCCTTTGTTCCCTAAAATCACATCTCTCTCTCTCTCTCTCTCTTTCAATCTCTCTCTGTCTCATGTTAGCCTTGTGGCTCTCTTACATATCCTTTCTAGTCCAATCTAGAATTCACTTTTCCCTTCAAACAAAATCTTCTTTGACATAATATGCGAATCATCATCATCTTTTTTCAAAACTGATTTGGATGGCATCCTAATATATGGCATGCAAAAGGATTTCTGCTCTGAGCTCTCATTTTTCATCATCTGTTTTTTGAAACGTCAAGCACACCAGGATGCAGGGAGCTTGGGTGGGGGTAGTGATGACCCCTCAAAATCTTGCTCTGGCAGTCCTAGAGCTAGAATTCTAGTAGAGCATGCGTCCACTCATCAAGAGATCTCGATCCATGTCCTATGGAGATACAATCCTTGAACAAAATGTGATCTTCATTCGTACGAAAAGGGGATTAAAATTCCACTACAAGTTGGGGCATGATCTTGGTTTGGAGGAATCTCTATTCCAGAGGGAGTTTCATAAGTGCTCGAGTTTTGAACCCAATTTCTTTGATTTCTTGCTCATGTTTTCCATTTTCATGGTCATGATTTGCATCAGCAGTTGAAAATTGGCGAGCTGACTTGGAATCACTCGAGTTGCTTGGACCCGAGGAGATCCCTAGTCCTGTATAGGTCCAAACTAGGGAATTTCCTAGGTTGTCTAGAACCGAGCAGTTCACTGTAGTGGATCTGTTTTCACTTGAGGGACTTGGATGACCTAAACTCTATTCTTATCATGGTGCTATGTATCATTTTTACAAATTTTTATGGGACTTCCATTGTATAACGATCTTCTTATATGTTTGCATAGATGATGCTAGAAGCCTGGATTTTACATTTATATAGGTGAGTGTGTTCATGTCATCATTTCATTTAATATAATGAAATCACTCTTCTAAAAACATGCTTGTGGCATTTATATTGACCCCAAATGTTGCACATGTACTATCTTCATTAAAAAAATCAATTGCAAGGAGAAATAGTTGAATTTTCAGTCTAGTAAAGGTTGAAATAAGTCTTGATACATTGTATCCAGACAGTCCATTTCGTGGACATTTAGATCTAGGTCTCTAACTTCTTCATCTAATGATGGCAAGGTCATCTCTACCAAATTTGGGATAAAAAAATTTTTATCCAATAAATGGACAGGCTATATTAATTGGGTTAAAACAACATCTTTTAGTGTGCCTTTTCAAGACGTAATGTATTGAAATTGTTCGGATCGGGAGTGGGATTAGGACTGGGAATGGGATTGTCTCCCAATGGTTCAAATCGAGGTTCACATATGTTGGGGATTTCAATCCCAACCACAAAGATTATGTATAGTCTAGGACTATATAAGCTCTATAAAGTAGGGATCTTTATTTATAGCCAACAAAAATATATTTTAAAAATATGGCTGCATTGCTAGCTGGCGATAAATAAAGAAAATACCAGGTTGGTTGTTATCTTGGCCTTTAAGGTGAGGATGAGATCCCTTATAGTGGAAATCGAGATCCCAAAATTTACAAATCTAAATCCCTTGAGCGCGAGGTGGTACCGCCACTTAGGTTGATCCTAGCAACTATGGTTCACCAGAATGAAGCTATGGTTCACCAGAATAAAAAAAAGTGTATGTTTCAAAACTGAGGTATATTTTTTTCCCTTATATGGTTTTTGAAAATGCATTTTATTGTATTACTTTGGAAGGGTGATATGAAATCACTTCCGAAGCACTCCCATATAGATATGTGTGTGTGTGTGTGTGTGTGTGTGTATAGGCGCTAATACATCTGATACATACATCAAGCTACTCCTTGAAAAGCGCTCCTAAGGCAGGGAGCTTCAGTTATGGATTGATCCCAGTCTGCAGCAAGGACACACTATACATGTTTTATTTGCAATGGTGGGTTCATGCATCAAGAAGGCTGCAGAATAATGCATAATACATCAAATTATGTAAAATGCACAATTACAAGCATCACAAAGGCTATTCAGGTTGTATTTTTATGAGAATATCCACTCAAGATGGTAGGGTGTCTGTAGACTTTCATCTCTCTCTTGTTTGTTGAAATGTTATCATTTATTTTCTTGTAATTACCAGGATCAAAGATGGAAATGGTCAGGAACTGTATCCAAGATCATCATTTGTGATCAATTGTAGAGGTGAGACCAGATCTGGTGCAAATAATGTGAGCTTTGTTGTATTAATTCACTCAGAAACGCAATTTTCAGGAAACTCAGACATGCCTCCATTTTGAAACTTGGTAATCAGAAGGCTCCTAGTCTCTGAAAGATCTCAAATTATCACTGTGAAAATATGAAAACATATACCTAGATATACTGAATGATATTATGAAAATGCCCCATTTTTTTAAGGCAATGGCAAAACTCACCTGATCCTGCAAAATGCTAAGCTGAAGGTAAATATGGATTTTTGTCACGCACCAAAAATATAAAGACACTGTGATTCACATAGAATGAGATTTATTTTCGTTTCTTTTTTGAATGTGTGTGTGCAAGTGCGTGCGTGCATGAGTGTGCATGTGTGCGAGCGGGTGCATGTCCATGTGCGTGTCTGTGCAGGCAGGTAGTGTGTGCATGCGCTTGTGCATTTGTGTGCGTGCACA